TTAGAGATGCACAATTCTACCCTTTCTCATACACTGGGGATGACTCGCAAGTCCTTTCTATAGATTTTATAATTAAAAAACATTAAAAATATCTTTCAGTATTATTGATCTGCCCTTGTGTTTACATGCTCTCTCTTCAACTGGATTGTTAAAAAATTACTTTATTTCTTTCTCAGCCACCATAGAACCTAACAACTACTTTCTAGATGTAGAAACTCTAGACAAAACCCAGACATGCCTTGTGCACTCATCTCTGAATCTCGGTTCATGCCCCAGTCTTCCTAAGCCCTGCCCTTCAGCGCTCCCCTGGCTATGCCATAATACTCCCTGTCTGTGCCATACGTAGGCCCTAATCACTGACCAGTTGCAAGTTCTCATTATCTTTTCCTGAAAGGATGAGCATGGTCTCCCCAGTCCGTTGAGACTTCTGTAAGCTCCCTTTCCAATCTTCTTTGCGGCCTGCTCCCCGCCTGTCCACTTGTCCAGCTTCTAGCACATTGTCTTAAACACAGGAGACAGCAAATTACATTTTACCAACTATGTCAGATTGCTGAACAGTGGACCTGAGCCACGGGCTGTGAATTCGGATCCCAGCTGGGCACGTAACTTGCAGAATACACGGGAATGACAGCGAGGGGGATTCCCACCCTGAATGGAACTCGGAAAGAAGCAGCCTACCCTCTGAGGGTTAAACCATAGCAAAAACAACGACGACATATCAAGAGCAGTGAAAAACATGGTCAAAGTAAAGAAATGGTTTTCAAAAAGGGTGATAGATTTCACTCCCTGCCCCCACCTCAGGGGTATTGGTCAATGTCTAGCGACATTAAAGGGGCAGAATGGCTCGCCCTGGCTGGTTGGTTGGAGTGTCCTCCTGTGCACCAAAATGGTTGCAGGTTCAGTCTCCGCTGGGATGCCTATGGGAGGCAACCAATTGATGTTTCTGTCTCACACTGATGTGTGTGTGTGTGTCCATGTCCATCTTTCTCCCTTCCTCTCTTTCTGAAATCAATAAACATATCCTCTGGCGATGAATTTTTTAAAAAGGAATGGAATGGCTTGACTATATTCTGACTGAAGAGGAAGACGGGGTGGTCAGCAGTGGAGGCCCTGGGAAAGAGGAAGAGAGACAAGAGGGTCCAGTCCATTCGGACCTGGGAGAGAGGTTGAGTTGTGCTATGAGGCAGTTTTTATCCAGTGGACCCACATCTCACACAAGTGCAAGCTAAACTTACCATGTCTTTAAAAAGTACTGTAAAAAAATGTGTAAGGCAATTATGAAAATAAGATACTAACCAAATGTTCAATAATATTAAAGAATTGTTTCTAATTTTTAAATGTCGTATTTTCCATTGCTGCATAACAATAACCACAAACTTAGTGGTTTAAAATAACACATTAATTTCAGTGTCTCTGGGTCATCTTAGCTGAGCTGAGCTGAGTCCTCTGCAAGGCTACCATCGAGGTGTTGGATAGGGCTGGGGTCCCAATCTCATGTGACCTCATGTGAACACTCAGCTGAGGGGAAAGATGTGCTTCCAGGCTCATTTGGGTTGTTGGCAGTATTCAGCTCCTTGCTGTGGTAGGACTAAGGGCCTCATTTTTATGCTGGCTATCTACTAGAGGCTGCCCTCAGCTTCTAGAGGTGGTGGGAATCATGGGGTTACCTTAAAAGTCTGTCTGCCATAGATGTAATATTGGTATTGAGGTTACTTTTTTTTAGGAGCCCTTATATTTTAGAGCTAAATACTGAAATATTTGCAGTGAAAGTATATGTCTGTCTGGGATTTGCTTCAGAATAATCCAGAAGGGAGGAAAAGTGGGTGGAGGTATAAATAATTGACCATGAGTTGAAAACTGTTGAATCTGGTAGGTTCATGGGAGCTCATTATACTATTCTCTCAACTTTTGTGTATGCTTGAAATATTCATAATAAAATTAAAAATAAAAAGATCCCATGCATATTAGTTATCTATTGCTACAAAACTAACTACCTCACAACTTAGTGACTTAAAACAACAAGCATTTATGTTCTCAGTTTCTGTGGGTCAGGGATCTGGGACAGCTTAGCTATGTGCTTCTGGTACAGGGTCTCACAAGACTCCATCAAGGAGTCAGCATGACTGCAGGCTTCCGGGGCTTGATGAGCTAGAGGATCTGCTTCCAAGCTCATGCATGTGGCTGTTGGTCAGGGGCCTCAGTTCCTTGCTCATGATGGGCAGCTGGCTTCCCACAGAGCAAGCGATGAGAAAGACACACACACACACACACACACACACATTGATCAAAACATAAGATGCAGTCTTTTATAACCTAATGGAAGTTACATACCATTATTTCTGAATATTCTATTGGTCACACAGACCAGCCCTGGTACAATGTGGGAAGGGATTGCACATGGGTCTGAACGCAAGAAGGCAAGGATCATTGAGAGCCGTTTTGGAGTCAGGCTACTGTGCTAAGGCAAAAATTGAGTGTTATCAGAATTATCCTTGAAAATCCTATAAATAACCTATAAAACATAGTATACAGTTATGCCAGCACACAAGCCCAACATTGCTAGTTTTTTCTCCAGTGCTAGAACACATCACTGTTTTATTGAGTGCTAGATAAAATTGTTAGCTTGAACTAGGGATCATGGTTTTTCCAAAAATAAATATATTTAAAGACTAAAATCACATTTGGCTTGGCCCTGAGTGGATAAAGTTAAATTCAAGTAAATTAAGTGCAGTATGATGGGATTCTAATGCAATGTTCAAGTAAGAAAGCTTATCACATCTTGCTGATATCTGCCATTTAGGTCCATTTTTCTGACTCCTTATTTTAGCTCCATAGTTACCAAACAGCTGATTATAATTTGGTTTCCCAAACAAATGCAAATGGGGAGAAAAATGCTCTGATCTAAATCATTCTGTGTTTACATTTCTCATTGTAAAATTAAAAATTGGTATTCTCTATGTGCTAGGTTGCTGTGAATCTGCACCTGAGAGTACCTACCAGGGGTGTCCAACATGCAGCCTGAGGGCCACATTGCAGCCCAGGATGGCTGTGAATGCAGCCCAACACAAAATCATAAATTTACTTAAAACACTGGCATTTTTTTGTGATTACGTGTTGCAATGTATTTAATCTGTGGCCCAAGACAACTCTTCTTCCTTTGTGGCACAGAGACACCAAAAGTTTGGACACCCGCTAGACCATGATGAATTTACTGAAATAATGCCACCCAAGGGGGAATCATCTGAGGGGCATAAAAATCTTCCCAAGATGTGGCAGCTATATTTACAATACGCAGTGTATCCATGAGCTCCCCCACATTTTGCAGGTCCCTTGCTATTAGATGGGGGTGTGTAACCCGTTTTGGTCGATTGGCTGTGAGTAGAATTGACATATCACTTCAGAGCCAAAATACAGTGAGATTTTCATATACTCTCTCCTCCTGCTGCATCAATTATGGAGCCACATGTTGAGATGGCAGAAAGCAAGATCAGCCTGGGCCCCTGCATGATCATGATGAACAGAACCCCTCCTGACCTGTGCTACACAGGAAATCTGAATGCAAATAAAAGTTTGTTATATTAAGCCACTGTGACTTTGTAGGTATTCCCTACATTAGCATAACCCAGTGTAACTCAATGCACCAGGAGATGCCAGCCATGCTAGGAGCACACTTTTCAATCAATGGTAATGTTCCACTGGAGTGCTAGGATACATCTCCAACAATCTCTCTCCACAAAACCCTCTACTCACTCTTAGTAACTGATTAGATAGGCAAGAGGTGGGCAGAAGCTGAAGAGGCAAGGAAAAACCTAGAAGGAGTACAGATTTTGAAGCACCCTCAGTTCTCCTCTGCTCATATCAGTAGAAAACTCACTCTACACAGTATGCTAATTCTAGAGGCTCTATGCTCCTGCTACCCACAGATGTTATGTCATTTCCTCTCGTCGATCTCTTTGGGCATGGCTGTCCCTCCCCTACCCCTGCCCCAGCTTCCCTGGAGGCCGCTTCTGGAGCACTGCAGCCACTATGGCCGCTCAGTCTTCAGCAGGCTGACCAAGTAAACACATTAAATATTACAGTTGTCCTGACTATCCTGACTCAACTGTCTATTGCTAAGTGGAAAATTTTAAAAATCACTTTAAAAAGTAAATATAGGATTTGAAAATATAGGATGAAAAGTCAACCCAGAGGCTTTAAATGGCAACTTCCATGCAAAAAAAATTTAGAGCTATCTCAAGGACTTGTTTCCCCAAAATAGCTATGAAGGACTTAGCATACATTTAAGAGATAAAATTCAGACCCTTTCAACTGTGCACTTATATAAAATTATTTTTAATTCAACTCTAGGTTGGGAAAACCTTGCATGTTGCGAAAACCCTCCAGTGATTCTTGCCCTCGGTGTCAGAATCAACAGATGAGTTGTGACAAGCTGTGCATGCAGTGTGTGGTGGGTCACAGGTTACTCATTAAAGCACTGAAGCTAGTAAATTATTTTCTTCACTGCAAATTAAGGGAAACATAAGATTATTTCTGCAATATATTCACTCTCACATGCTTTAGCAAAAGTAAATAAAAATAGAAAACATGGTATCGTTAAGGTGAAAAAATTGAGACAGGAATTTCTAACTGATCAACTTGCAGTTTTTGAGATGGCCAAGAATTGCCGTCAATGAGGTCATCTTAAAGAAACACTCTCTTAAAAAAAAATCCTCACCCAAGGATATGTTTACTGATTTTTAAGAGAGAGGAAAGGGGAGAGAGAGAGAGAGAAAGAAAGAGAGAGAGAAACATCGATGTGAGAGAAACATCAGTCAGTTGCCTCCCGTACGCACCGTGACTGGGGGGTCAAACTTGCAAACTTTTGATGCATGGGAAGACACCTCAAAGAACTAAGCCACCCAGCCAGTACAAGAAACACTCTTAAGGAGTTGAAAAAGCCCTCATCCCAGAGTCAGTTATAGATATTCAATACTAAAGATTTAACAGAATTTAAAGTTGCGTTAAAATACCTTTATTAAGAGAAGAATGCCTTTTAACTTATCACTCCAAAGCTATATATCAAGATAAGGATACTACATTACCTTTAGTGTTTTAATTTTATTACCACACAAATATATACACATTTTTTAAGTTTCTGGGTTTTTTAGTTATTTAGTTATATGTCCTGATTTTTAGTTATTGAACATACGTATGTTCCAATAAAGGAAATAATTTTTTAGATACATTAAAATTATTCCCAGTCATATTTCCCACATATGACCTATTTTCATTGTCTATTTTCATGACCCATCCTTGTCCAAATAAATTCACATTTTCATAGACAGCATAATACTGCTAACATTTTATAATCTAATATAATTTTCTTTCTAAATATCATAAAATATTTTTCCATATTTCCACATAGTTACTGGGTCTTTTTAATGGCTGCATAATATTCCATCACATTAACCTAAGTTTAAATGGTTTGATTTTATTCCTCATAAATTTGTTCCTCATTCTGTGATCGGTAGTCACAAAGAACAACCTTATTCTTTGTTACTAGTTAGTTACTTACATTTCAAATACAGGTAGAATCAAAACTCAATAGTTAATTAGTCAGGGCGTGTCATTAAATCTCTATTAATATGTCTTCATTTTTCTATTTCTAACATGAGGTTAAGTAGACTACTGCACAAGTGTGCTAAAGTCAGCCCCTTATGTTTCTCTTTATGAAAAGCCATTCAAGCAAGACAGCAGCATCTCAGCACAGCCACCTCTAGGCTGTCAGTGTGCCCTCTAAAACAACAGCAGCACCTCCCCTAAGGTCAACTCGTCCATCAGAGCGCAGTGAAATCTCCAGTTCTCCTCCTCGGCTGGAACACTGAAAGGCTGAAGAAAACAAAATGAATCACAAGTTACGATCATTTTCACCCTTTTTAATTAAAAGTACATAGTGAGACACCTCTTATTACAAGTTCTAGAATCCTCCCAGGTCAATTAAAAGAATAAATTCCTTCATCTGTCCATTGTACAGCCCAGCCTAACTGGTTCTCCTGAGGAGTGAGCGGCCACAAATACAATTGGATCCACAAAATACACAGCCCCATGTCTTTCCTTCCTGAGCTACTTCCTCTCTCACCTCCTGAAATGCCCCAGACACACCCTAGCCATAACTTCCTGTCCAGCTCTGTCTAGGAGTAAGCAAGGACATGTGAAAAGATAGACACACAAACTAAATGTCTAAGAAGATCAAGAGGGGCGGTGTTGGCCCTTCTGAGAGGGCCCCATCTTCCCAGGTCTGAATAAGATAAAAGGCATTCATTCACTCATTGTGGTTATCAAGCAAGCAACCATAAGTGTCAGGCAAACCGAGGGGCAGCCTCAGCCTTGCTGGAGCTCAATGCTTCCGAGAGTAACTCTTCTCACCAAGGAAAGACCCTGCTATCCCCAAATTAGCATCACAGAGGCCTAACCCTCCCACTAAGTAAGACCTCTACCCTTTAGAGTTAGGCTTATCTTAATTATTAGGACTTTGTAGCCTCCAGTGTCTGATCTATTTTTTCTTCCCCTGAGCAATATAAAAATCACCTGGGGACTTGATTCAAAAGCAGTTTGTTTGATTCAATTCTATGATTAGCAATAGTAAGGAACCTTACTGATCATCCAGTCTAAACTTGTCACACCATATATAACTTCTCTGGGCCAAAGTTACACAGCTAGTTAATTTTATTCAACATTTATTGGGCACTACTATACTAGAAGTGTGTCTGTGTGCGGGAGGGGCAAAGATGGAAGATATTTGGAATGGGGCTATTTTGGTAGTGGGTTCAGATTGAAGTAATTTAAAAACCTTTCATTTTCACATAGGTGATATGTAACATTTTATTAAATCCTAAGTTGATAGTACATATGAGAAGGAATACTAGCTTAAGGTTAGGCCTTTTTTTTTTTTTTTTTTAATTGAAAAAAAGCTGTCCTACCACGCATATTTTTCTTCCCCAGTTGCTGGGACCAGTAGCTGCTGAGAACAGTATGTGCAGACCCTTAAAAGAAATAAAAAGTTATGATATAATCACAAAGGAAACAGGGGAGACATTGTGGTAAATTTATAAGCAATTATAATCAACTATCCAGTTCGACTAAACCTAAGATGACTTCGTCAATATATTGGCAGGGCCACAGCAGTGTGTGGAATTGTGAATGGAGAGAGAAAGGAAGACACAGCATCTATGGATAAGCTCCTCCAAATGATGCATTTGCTATGTTTTATACTTTCTGAAGGCTGGATTAAACTGCACGCTTTAATTCTTGTCCCATCTATAGTTCACTGTCAGCCCATGGTAGGAAAATTAAGTCCTTCACAAAAGTCTTTCTCTGTCTTTCAAGGGAAAATATCTGTTTCCTCATGGGATGCACATGTAAAGAAAGATGGAAACTCTGACAGAATGCCAAATTTTCCACCAAGCACACAGTCCCAAACTTTTGGTGGCCAAAGAACTTTCTTGCAGTGAGGTACTTTTTCACATGATTGTACTCTAGGTTTAGATCAGAGAACAGATAGTAAAATGAAGAAACAAACTATAAAGTAATAACTGCCAGAAAAGTCTTTGAGGGAGAAAAATTTGAATTGGAAAAGGCTCCTCCTTCAGGAAAACTTACTAAACGTTACGGTAAGTCCACATAGTGTGACCAACCATTCCAGTTTGCCTGACTGTCCTGGTTTTAACACTGAAGTTCCTGTATGCTGAAAAATCCCCCAATTTCAAGCAAATTGAGATAGTTGGTCATCACTGTCTAAAGACCTTTCCTCTCTAGAAAAGCATTATTCTAGAAGAAAAACACTTGTCCTCTGTGCCAATTAAAATCTTTGTAAACGCAGCTGTACATATATAAATCCACTCAGAATTTCTTTTTCAAGGGGAAGGGCTGAGTTGGACTGTTTGGGTGTTATTTGGGCATTTTCCTGAGTCTTTAAAAGTGCTTCCTCACTGAGCTTTGAATTTCACATGTTTTGTTCCTTAGAGACTAACTAAGTCAAAGTCCTGACACCATCCCAGCCCCTGTCATCTGACCAGGACAGGAGCCTGCAAGTCTCTGCCCCGCCTCCTCTGCCCTGGCCACCGTCCCATCCACTGGCCTCCTCCCCTGAGCACTGCCCACTTTTGCTGCTCAGCCCACTCTTCTCAAAGAGGATGAGAGTAGGCAGTTTCACATTCTTGCCCATCTTAAATCTCATACCTCTGCTTCTGGCTGGTAGAAGATCTTGAATAACCCTGTTATCAAACTCATCTCACCTACTTTGGAGGCAGGTCTGGGAAGGGTAGAGGAGAGGAAAAGAAACACTATTCCTGTCCCTCTTTCCCACTTGCAGCTCAGGAGTTTATCCTTGAAAGCCACCTCTTATCTAGATGTCAGTGATTATGCAGGATGGTCATTGAAAAGGACAAAAGACATCAGCCCCTGAATTTAAAAAATAGATCTGGAAGTGTTTGCTCAGGGAGCCAGGCACTGTGATAAGTACAATGCAATGTTAATGCATTGGGTTTACATAACCCTGTAGGTGTTATCTGTATTTTATAGAAGAGAGAATGGAAACTTTTAAAAGGTAAGCCATTTGCCGAAGTTCAACAGCTAGGAAGCTAGCATGCAAACCCATGCTGCCTGACACTAAGGTTTAACCCTACTAGACTGCTTCCTTAATTCTGTGTTTTTCACATGAGATGTCAGTGAAGGGATGGGGATGGGGTGATAGGGAAACAAAGGCAGCTCAAAACCCAAGCCATCTGAAAGTCACATGAAGGGCACCTAAACAGCTATTTGTTATCCTCCCCTCCTCGCTGTTTAGCCCTCCCCAGGACCCATGTGAAAAAGTACCTGTTACAGGGTCTTCCGCCACACCAAACCATGGTGAAAAATATCTGGAGTAAAAGTCAAATTGGGTCTCCCCACCAGGCTGTCCTTTAAGGGTGAGAATGAGTCCTTTCACCTTCCCTGAGTTCTCCACTTGCAGCAGATTCTGTGTGTTCACCTTCAGTTTCTCCAGAAATGACCTTGTTCATAAATGGGATGTATTAGGACAAACCCATTCCACATACCACCCACTACATTGACTGTAAAGCAGGCCAGGGCGTGGCTTACCCAAACTGATTAGTAGGAGGGGAGGGAAGAGCAAATGGAATATCTTTCTACCTGAGAACAAAACTCCCTGGCTGCATAAATCATGGTTTGACTGGACACAGCACAGCCAGACCAAGCCAGAGCTCTAAATCTGGATGCTTGGCCCCCTCCAAAGTGCTGACGAAGCCAAAAATCTTGTTCACCTGTCATAAGTATCACTGAGCCGGACAAGGAGCTTTCGGGTATCTGGAGAATAACGGATGTCCTGGACCAGTGTATCCCCTATGGCAGTCTGTGGAGAAAGATCAAAGACTTTTCAGGAATGTGCTCTGGGTCAAGCCCCTGATCCCCTGTACGGTAAACGACCTCTCATGCGCGTCTGCAGTGTGCCAAGCACACCCATGCTTTTCTGCTTTTCTGGCTGCTAGTCCCCAAGCTTCATTTTTGTTTCAGGGCTTAAGGTGTTGCCCAAGGAAGGTCATTTTCCTGATGATAAAAGAAGCCTTTAAGAGAGTTGAGCATGCGCTCTGAGAGCCAAAGATAGGCAGTTTTCACCAGTGTTAATACATGCCTCAACACACAATTCCTTCAGATGGGTATTTTCCCCACAGGTCAGCAGAAAGACTTGGGTCTAAGGTCTCAAACACACACACCTCTTGACCCAGGTCTTAGGGGCCCTGGTGTCAGTGCTCTGCATCACTACTGTCTACTGTCTGTTGAGATGGGGGACAGCCCTCGTGCCCACCTCTTAGTGTTGTTGTGGGGATTAAATAAAGTATATGAGGAGTTCCTGCAGCAGTGACTGGAACATTCCACATGGTGAGGACTTGGGCCTGGCAGTTTGATTAGACTTGGGGACCGAAGGACTCACCTTAATGCTGCTGCTCTGCTTGGCAAGCACGCTCTTTTCACTTATATGGTATGTTACAGATCAATAACATAGCACATTTTCTAAAGATGCCTTGATTCACCCTTTATGTAAGACTGTAACAGAGGTTATGAGGGGACAACAGCCCCTCCAAGCACTCCCAGGGGCTGCCAGCAGAGCAGGTGACCATGGCGATGACATAGTCATTATCTGGCAGGCATTAGGTGGCTTCAGGTTAGGGACTGAGATGATGCAGGTCCCAAGGGCAAGACTCCATCCACCATGGGTGGTGTCTGGGCTGTCGGCCTCTGTGAACACAGCTAACCTATGTCTCTCTCTCTAGAAACGGGAATTCCATCAGCCAGATCCCACCTTCTCTCAGGGACCTTTCGGTCTCTCTAAAGGGTCATCCAGCCCTTCTCTGCATGGATTCTTAGGTAATTTGAAAGCTTAATTCCCAGCTGAGAATTTTACTGCCAGTTTCAAAGAACACAAAATGGCAACAGTCATGATAAATAACCCTTTGTCATTCTCATTTTACAATGCTGACCCTGAGGCTTAGAGAGATTAGGTTAAGTTCTTTCTACTGTGAACAAGGTAGAAAAAACTCTGAATATTTTCCATTTTCCTGCCAACTGCTAGTCTCCCCCCAGCCCCGCCCCTACCATGGAGGCTAATGTTGACAATGAAGGGTCAGGGAAAACTGGTCAACTTTTTCACCAAATAGATTTGATATTAAAATTCAAACCTCAAATGCACTGTTCATTATTCATCCAAGTTTAGATTGGAACATCGATACTGGTAGTGGACCTATCTTTTGGGATCAAATGGCACCACGTCTTTGTGATCAAACAATAACAAGTGTTCAAAAAACATGAGCTCAGTTTTGATTCTTTTCACTAACCTCAATCAAGTCCTTTACTTCATGAAAGTCCTAGATGGGGAAAAAAGACAAAAATCATTGTAAAACAGGCGAGCAGTCAGTTGTACACAGTTTATTAATTAGAAAGAGCTGACCTGGGGTTGGACTGGATAAAGAGGCAAGTCCAGGACAATGCCGTCCTCTGCTCTTCTGGCCTTGAGTTCCCCACTCAGCGTGACAAAGGTTAGCGTACTGTTCACATTTTCTGGTAAAAAAACAAAAACAAAAACGTGCCTTATTTTGTCCATCAGAAAACTGTTTGGAAATGAGTCAAGAAATAGGAAAACAGACTTTGTTATGTTGTTATACGTTTGTATGTCTGTTTCAGTCACTGTTGTCTTAGATTCTCTGGCACTACTGTCCTTTCATGTGAGGGGGGCCCAGGTTTGGTTTGCCATGGTCCACAGCAGGGAAAACCCTCACTGGATTCTAACTTGAGAACTAAGAACACGACTGATTAGACTTGGCATCGTATTGCAAGGCTTCAAATCCCAGCTCTTTGCTGCTTCCTAGCTGTTCCTTTGAGCAAATTATTTAACCTCCTTAACCTTCAATTTCCTTATCAATAAAATGGGGTAATGATTAAATCTATACTGATTTTACCAATAAAAAAAGGTAATAATTAAGCCTACCTCATAGGGATGCTGTGTTTTCTAATGTGATTTTATATCTACAATAAACCTAGAATTATAAGCTCTACAAGTCTAAGCTACGCCAAGCAATGACAAGGAGAACATACAAGTTGTGAACAACAATCTGATATGAACAGATCAGGTTTATTTTAATTAAACCAAGATACACATAAAATTTTTGTTCAAAGATCAGACTATAATGCTGATATAATAGCCCTCCCTCCATGTTTTAATGCAACTTGAGTCATTTATCTAACTTCAGTGTGCATAACATTTTTGGTGAAACAAAGATTTGTGACATAATTCCTCCTCCCCCCAATACTTCTATAAAACTCAACCATATCTCAAAAGTGAGGAAATTCAGCATTTCTCATTAATTTTCATTGACCATAAAATTTAGATTCTGGAACCCAATGTTTAATTTGCTCATTATAATTCATGTAAGACATTATTATTTACAAAACAGTTTTTCATATCTTATCTAACCTTAAAACAACTCAAGGGGAACCTGAGAGCTATCATTAATAAACCCCAGCCTCATACCAACCAATGTGGGCTTTTCAAATACAACTTCAGTAAAGTCTATTTTCCAAGACTGTGTTTCTAAACAATATTTTATGATATTTGCTTGCCTTCATTCTAATCCCCCAATCCACTGAAACCAAAATTATCTTTTTAAAACACATAATGGATTACATTACAGGGGTACCTTGGCCTAACTCTCAGTGTCATCTCCTGCCAATCACCCCCTCCCTCAGGAAGCGCCAGCCCTCAGGGGCTTTGCACTTGCTGCTGCCTCTGCCAGGAAGGCACTTCCCCCTGCTCTAGCTCTTTGCACAGATGGCTTCATATTCTTCAGCTTGAAGTCCCTTTTCTCTAGTGGATGCCGCCGTACTGCAACATCTTCTACCAGTCACTTGGTTTACTAGAAAGAGTATGAGAATTTTAAAACATATTTGCTATTTGCTAAGTGATAGGTTCATTTAAAAAAAAAATCACATTACTTATTTTGTGAAACAGCACAGCTGCAGAAGCCAGGGTAGCATGGCCACAGAGAGGGACCTCACTCGTTGGTGTAAACCACCTTAATCCAAAGCAGGAGCCTTCAGAGAAAGACAAATCAAAGAGAGATAAGATCATTCCCATACAAGTGAGTTGCAAACTTTTCATTTTCTTATTCTTTTCTAAATATTTCCTTAGTGTCAATCAACTGCTGAAACATGTGTATGAAAGGAGGGGTAAACTCTGGGCATGCATCCTAGGGTTCCCGGGTACTAGATCTGGGGTTGAAACATTCAAATTAGCCAATCCTACTCCCCCAGATTAACTGAAAACCAAAGCAGAATCTCCTCCCACCCCATCTGCATGCAAATAGCAAGTGGGCATATCCCTTAAATATCATTCCCCCACTGGAAAGCAACTTCCGGACTATTCAAGAATGGTTTTAAAAAATGCTTATTTACTTTGTGTAAAATTGTCAGTTGGGTGCAGCTTTCGGATAAACGCAGTTTCTGAGAGGTTCATTTCCCTTGCAATTTTTTGATGCATGTCTTCATCCAATTTCTGAATTAGAAACAAAAAGTTGTTGAGACTCCAGAAATACACGTCAGACTTGGACAGCAACTGCCATTTGTTAGTAACACAATTTTTTTTTATTTGCTTAAAAGGAAATAATTGCCAAGGAATTTAGGCACTTTTCTAAAGATTGCTTTTCAGAAATCCATGCTTGAGCACCTTATGAAGAGCTGTGAGATGGCTGAAAACCCTACTGGCCTGGCCTTATCCTTTGTGAGATTATTACCTAAAACAACCTCTACATATGGAAGATTCACAATCTCCCTTTCTTGTTGGATAAAGAGATATTTGGCACTCATTCTAGGCAGGCTGGACCACGCTGCCTCCATTTATTTATGCATGGTTCACTCCCTTTCATGGGTCAGGCCTCAGGCCAGAGGTCACTTCCTGCAGGATGCCTTCAGACTGCTCTGTCCAAAAGAACTGTCTCTTCCCCAGTGTTTCCACAACCTGAACTCACCTAGCTTGTCCTTTTCTGTCTGTGCTCCCCCAACTCCCACCGCTGACTCAGAGCTCTATGAGAGCACAGACTGCTATTGCTTTGTCCTGGTTTAGAACAATCTTTAGAAAAGGCCTAAATTCCTTGTATTCATCCCAGGATAGAAGGGGCTCAATAAACATTTCCTGAAAGAAGAAACACATTACTCATTTAATCTTTGTTTTAAAAATCCTCAATACAGATATTTTATCCACTTACAGAGAAAAAGCTAAACAGAGAGGTTGTATTATATCCTAAGATCACAATATGCCTAATAAATGGTAGAGTGATTAAGAATGGGAGCTTTGCAAATGGCAACAACCAGTGAATCTAGAGGAAAGGTATGTGGATGTTCATTGTACCACTCTTGAAACTTTTTTGTAAGTTTTTAATTTTTCAAAATAAAATGTTAAAAATAATGTAGGGCCCTGGCAGGTGTGGCTCAATTGGTTGGGGCGAATACAGTAGGGCAGCCAGGCATGCTTCCCTCTCACATCAATGTCTCTCTCCTTTCCCCTCCCTCTAAAGGCAGTGAAAAGAATGTCTTCAGGTGAGGAATGAATGAATGAAGTAGGCTTTGCTCTGGCCAGGTGGCTCAATTGGTTGGGGCATCATCCCCTACAACAAAGGGTTCCAAGTCTGATCCCCAGTTGGGGTGCATACCAGAGGCAACTGATCAATGTTTCTCTCACATTGACATCTCTCTCTCTCTTCCTCTTGCTCTAAAATCAATAAACATGTCCTCAGATAGGATTGTTTTAAATTTTTTTTTTTTTTTTTTTTTTTTTTTTTTTTTTTTTTTTAATTTTATGTGCCCCAGGCATGAACCAGCTCTGGCCACCAACACAGGCAACAAGCTAGGATGAACTAAGGACTGTACAACTGCTTTGCCCCTGACTGATATAAGAGCAACACCACTCATCAGGTGTGTCCTTGCCCATTGCCAAGGGGTTTGTTTTAAAAATTTTTAAATAAAAATAATGTGGGCTTTGGAAACAGACAGAATTGGAGTTTTATCTGGATCAGCCCCCCGTAGCAGCGCAAGAGTGAGCAAGTCATTTACTCTCATGGAGTCTCAGTTTCCACACCTTTAAAATGAGAATAATAGTATTAAATCAAAGAATTGTTGTGAAAAAACATGTATACATACCATATTTTCACACCCAGACACATTCCTTTTAACTCAAGAAAAAAAAATGGGTCAGAAATATGAGTTTTCCCTTTGAGAATAAAAATAAATTTGTTTAATCAACATAATGCTTACTAGCTAGATTTTGAATTCTAATGACAAATAAATTTTTGCTTTGGCCACAGTTACTGTTTTTGAGATCCTGAGTCCCAGGAATAAGAATCATAACTTTATACTAATAAATTCATAATTCACTTACCTGAGTTATGCAAGTTAAGCACACTTTATTTTTTAGTTTCAAATTCTTTTGAAACGCTTTCCATATACTTGTATAAAGCATCAAACAGTGATTATTGTGAAAAATCAGTCACGATTTTTAAACTATCAGCTGCTATAAAAATCCTAGCAAGAGATTTACTAAGGTTTTATTAAAGGGGCACTATATTCAAAATCTGTAGAAGTTCTGTAGTCCTATAGAAAGAGAAATCACCTAAGAAATTGGTACTTATTTTCTGAAAAACCAAACAACAATTGTTTTGTTTTATTTAACATTTTTCTTTCAAAAGATTAAATCCAGTAATGCATGTAAAGTGCTCATAACAGTGCCCAACACATAGTAAGTACTTGGTTAATGTTAGCTTTTTATTTTGAGTGGCTGAAAGCCTATGCTTTAAACCTGCCACACTACACTGCCTCTCCATAACAAAGACAAACTATCATTATCCCTTTAACACACCGCAGACAGGAAAACCAATGTGTATCAGGTCAATGAAGCCCTTCAATGTTTCTGAGGGAAAGCAGCAATCAATTACTGAGCTGGACCAGCAGCTTCTGACAAAAGGGAATTTGTCAGAAATGCAGTCTCAGACCCCATCACAGGTCTTCTAAATCAGAATCTTCATTTTAACCAGCTCCCCAGATGATCTGTGTGCACATTAAAATTTGAGAACCCTAGTGTGTAAGATATGGCCCTGTGTTCTTGTGGAGAGTCAAAACAGACACAGAAAGCAAAGCAAACACCACCAGAGACTACATATGTATTTGAGATGCCTAGAGTTGCATACAGTAGGTAACTGAGATCATAGATTTTGACAATAAATATGCTAGGCCTTTAGAGATGAGGCATTGAAGAAGACCTAGAAAAAGGGCAAATTTTGGTTAGTTGGACAGAAAATGTGTGCAAAGAGCTTTGTACTGGGGATGTGTCTTGGGAAAGTTACTTGATCTCACCTCTGTTCTGTTACATCTTTGACACTCTAGGATTCTGTGACCTGAGATAAGGAGAATTAGGATAGTAGGAATGAAATGAAATGAAATGAAATGAAATGAAATGAAATGAAATGAAATGAAATGAAATGAAATAAGCACCTGTCACACCTGTGGGCCTGGAGAGTCAGAAGTACCACCTGAGTAGAGGAAGCGGGTGGTGGTTGGGGCATCCCAGCCAACAAGGCAACACTGTTAAGAACTGAACTCAGGCACGCTTTCCCTCTGGGAGCAGGGCTGAGCCTTTGCCTTCCTCCTCTTCTTTCTCCCAAGCCCCCAGGCACTTTATCTTGGCCTTTTTCTCTCCTAAGCTCCAAGTGCCCTTCTTTTGTTTCTGTAACTTTTTTTCCTGAGCTTACCCAGCCCAGCTGGCTAACTTTTACTACCTCTATAACTTTCTAAATAAACTTTCTCTTATTTGAAAAGAAAAGAAAGAACTGAAGCACTTGCCATGGCCTATAGAATGTTCTCTGTGGAAATTGGAAATTGGCCCACATATCTGTGCATACAACACCTGAGAGAAACTGGGAGCCATTCAATTCCCTAATGCAGAATCTGCAATCACAGGACTCAGTGGTGAATGAAGGGGTGACAAAGAAAAGCCTGTGCTGGTCTTCCTGGGTTTGCCTCCGTGACTGCAGGGACCTGCAGTGCCTACCAGGCAGTCCCTCCTCTCTCTGATTTGGCCAAACTTTCCCTATTCTTGTCCTTCCCTCTTTTTATCTATTGCTTCCGTCAACCATTAGGACAAGAGTCTCCGAAAGCATGAAAGTATCCCACATTGTAGCCAAACTTACCATCTATTGGTATTAAATTTCCTTGCACATGGGCTGTTTTGCACATCAGCTAGAATATGTACTTTACTGACCATCAGGTCTTTAATCCTCTCTACCGTGGAGTATTACACCAATTGTAATTTGAATTTCAATAACTAACCTCTGTCCCAGGACACTGAAAATCACCTGCTATTTTCCTGAGGGACCAGAAGACATAATGCAGAAAGTTTCATAATAACAGCCTTCAATATGCACCATATGCAGCTGAATTTCTACACTGGAACTAAATGTCAGGATGATGGTGAATCATGGAAGGATAATATTGGTTCAACTTTGGGAGCTTTAGAAACAAAAGAAAGGGGTTGCGTTCCTTTAAAATACTGAATTTTGGTTCCAGTAATTTTTCTACTTTACACACTACAAGCTTATTTTCAAACGCAGCACAAAATAGTTACAAACCAACAGCTTTTAATTCTCTTGCTTTAATATCTTATTTCCTTTGGCAATGTCACATGAGACAAATTTCCAACAGCAAAAATAGAGCAATGATTTTTTTTTCTTTTGAGTGCCAATGTACTGCATTAGGACACTGAGTTTCCATCACCATTAAGACCCACAAAAAAATTAATGATCAGAAATTCAAAGTAAAGTTTTAAAATACTCCCATCTAGTGGCAGTTTAGAAATATGACAGCCTAAACCTAACAGTCTTGCTCTCAGTCTTTATTTGTTCCCTCTGCTGCAGATAGAGTCCAGCAAAGAAAAAGCAGTTAAATGTAGAAAGTTCTACATTCATCCAGGAAGAAATAAGAGATTACTTCCTAGGCACTTGGATTTCTTATTGTGAAGTTATGTCCGTACAATGCAGTTCTCAAATTGCAGGCCATCTTTAGTTCTTAACGGTTCCTGTGAATTCCTAGTCTCTGCAGCTCCATCGTAGAACCCAAGGCTCATATTCTCCTTCCATACCCTACCCACCCCACCCCACCAATAAGAACATAAGACCAACAATTCTTGGTTAACTAGAACTCTTCAGAGATTTTGCTATAATTTAATTGATTATATTTTTTACTTTCACTCAACAGATATTTATTTAGTGCCTCCCATGTGCTAGGCCAGGTGTGCTGGAACAAGTCTAAATAGATCTAAGATCATATAGAACATGCAGCCTAATGAGGAAGGCAGGCATTGAGTGAATTACCAGGGTAATGCCTGTTACCAACTGGGAAGTAAGGATTGCTGAGGGAGCACATAAAAGAGAACTTGTGATTTAATAGGGAGTATAATGGTTGAAAGCACAGGCTCTGCAGTCAAGCATGCCTGGATTGGGATCCTAAAGTCAGCTACTTAGGGAGTGTGTGACCTCTGGCAAATTACTCAAGCCTCATCTGCCTGTTTTCCCATCTGTAAAATGGGAATAATAATAACAAAACCTACTCATAGAGTAGTTGTGAGGATGAAATGGGATAACATATGAAAACCAATTAGCACCATTTTGGGCTGAATTTTTCTGAAGTCACTGCTCCCAAAGCTGAGGGTTATGTTCTAGAAGCCAGTGAGCATAGTTGGGAAGCAGAAATTCCTACATTAACATCTCCTCCTTTGCATTGCTCTTTTTCCACAAGTGCTGGACAAAGGAAAACGCTTCAGTACCCTAGAAAAATCTCTGCACTCCCCAGTCTCTTTTCTGAGCATAAAAATGAGATAGGAGGTTGAAACACCCTAGAAACCCCAGGAGCCTCTGACGGAGTGCAGTCATACTTGTGAGCCTCTCTCCAAGGAAGGGCACTGAGTTTGGAGACAGGCAGTGCACCATAAGCTTCCTGACATGAGTTGAGATGTGAGCTGAACATAGTATTGCTATACACCTCTTTTTTTCCTTAAATACACAACCCGCTAAGCTGTAAAAGGGATTTGGGTGTTCTCTAAATTTAAAACTGGAACAGCAAATAGTTCAGGAACTAAAACTAAGCATTCTTCTTTACAAGTGTGAAACCAATCCTCCTTGCCATCGCTGGAAATGATTATTAATTGTAAAAGAATAATAATTATTTTAAACAGTTAGTAAATGCCAATTGGATTAGAATAAATGTGTATATTGGGCACACAACAAAGTGTTTAATGGAGAATTTTAACAGAAAAACTCAGGAATAAACCTCTTATAAAAGGTATTCTCTGAAGGAACAGATCTCAACTGGGGACAATTTTTGATTGCCATGACTAAGGGAGAAGGAGGGACTATGTCATCTAGTGGACAGAGGTCAAGGATACTGGCAAACATTTTACAATGCATATGACAGCCTTATATAACAAAACATACGCCATCCAAAATGTCGATAGTGCTACAGTTAAGAAACCTTGTGCCAAACACACTTACACACATACCACCACCACCACCACCACCACCAGCAACAAAAACAAAACAAAAACATTTGAGGCTTTCTTAGAATATTAAGAAGAATAAATATGAGCTCCCTACCCCTGAAGATATGTTATTTTCACAAAATATTAAAGCTAGTTTACAGAAAAATAAACAAAACATCACCCATCAGCACTATCACAGGCCTCTGACCTATTCCAATAGTTGGTTGTGAATTCTTAGTTTTTTACTTAGCTGTCATCATAATGTATCTATTTCATTTTTAAAATAGTGTCCATACATTTTCCATGTGTATACATGGTCTTTATTATCAAACTTATATGTCACACATTTAAGGACACCATCGGTTTTTTAAGAATTTAAATATTTTGCCCTGGCCAGGTAGCTCAGTTGGTTAGAGCATCGTCCTGATCCACCAAGGTTGTGGGTTTGCTCTCCAGTCAGGGTACATCTAAGAATCAACCAATGAACGCGTAAATAAGTGGAACAACAAACTGATGCCTGTCTCTCTGTCTGTCTGTCTCATTTTCCCCCGTCCTTTCTCTCTAAGATCAATAAATAAAATTTTTGGAAAAGGATTTTAAATATTTTATTCAAATATATGTTCCATTTATCCCTTAATCTGTTTTTGTTTTCATCTAATGTACCGTGTAATAAGTTCCTCATGTGAGAATGTGAAAAATGGACTTGTTCTTAAAGAAAAACAAAACTTTAGAATATTATAAAAGCTCTTGGAACTCTGTTATCCAGAATTTTTTACTTTCCTCTCAGTAGTCTTTTATTAAGAATTCAAAAAGCAATAACCTAGTCTTTAGTCTGTCCACCAAGCTTTTCTGTGGTTAGCCTCATCTTGGTCAAATTTTAAATAATTTTAAACAAAATAAATGGATAAAGCCCTGCACTTAAAAATTAAAATTAAGTATTTTCTCCTCCATAAAATCCAACATTGTTCTCTGCGTAACCTTTGTACCTGGCACCGTTAGGTCTTTTAGCCTCTGTGGTGACCACTGAACAATGATCAGGCCTACGTGTCTACTAGTATGACCCTCACTAGACTTTGAACACCTCAAGGGCAGAAAAACTTACTAATCTTTGTATTTCTCCTCTGTAACCCAAAGCCTGGCTCATGGTGGATGTTGATAAAGATTTGTAGAATATGTTAATAGCACCTGAATTGTGGTCAGCATTATAAGATTTAGCACTTATTTGTCTCTGATAGTTTCCAGAGTTCACTTGTGTTCTCTCCAGGCATTTCAGGTATCCACTGTCTCCAGCCATGGATAAGAGAATCCAAGGGCAGAAAACACGGTTTATATTTCCTTTATAACTTTTATTGATTATGAATTAGGGAAAGCACTAAATTAGCCTCCAGGAGAACAGGATTCTCATGTCCACAGAATTGAAAACTAGCAAACTAATCTTGAGATATCTATTCAGTTGTCCCTGACAGGCCATCAAATTAGAATGATCTCACAGGTCCAAGGCCCAGAAGAAGTGAATTGGGAGACTCTTTAGAGAGTGTCCCCAAGTCATGGACTTCTTTTTCTTTCTTCCATTTGTACTGAAGCATATTTCTTTTAATTATGTTAAGTTCTTTGCTTGAAATTTAATTTCCTAGTTTTTCCAAATATATAAATAACATGTAAAATATATTTTAATGCAGAGGTAGATCGATACAGAGGGGGAAAGCCTTAAATCTATTATTTAGTAAATATATTGAAGATAAAAGGAGTAAATTGAGGAAGAATGATAATCCTTGTCATTGGTGAAAATTAAGTACAAAAATCACCCAAAACTATTTTCAAAACTCTTCAGGGATATTACATATGAAAACATAGGCAAATATGCTAAGACTCTTCACAAGAAGATTTAGTCAATTTCACAATTTCTGGAGGTGAAGTTGTGTTTGCCAGATTGTTTCTAAAAAAAATTCACAATTTAGAATCTAGTTGTTGATTATTCTCTCACTAATCCTCACAAACTCATTGTTTTGGTAAAGCCTATTAACTTTATTACTTTCTTTCTGCATTTTGTAGTTGAAAAATGCCAGCTGCAATGTTGTGTAATGAATGCATTGTTAAAGTGAGTTGAGGACTCCTGAACTCCTGATCACCATTTTGCTGCCCCATTTGAGAGATGAAATAGGAGTACCAAAGACTCGACTAACAGTCTTCACCGGTCTCAGGAGAACCTCAGGCACTCTCCATCTTGACTGCACCCTAGAATCATGTAGGAAGACTAACAAACAGTGCTGCCTGTGTCCCACTCCCAGAGATTCTGTTGTCATTGGCTTGGAATTCAGCCTGAGCACAGACGTTTTTAAAGCTCCTCAGGTGATCCTAATGTGCAGGCCAGGTTGAGCTTCACTGTACACAAATGTCCCAACACACTTCGTCCAACTTAATAATACTTACTTAAGATTAGGACTTGCTTACTGTGTTTCTGAAGTAATTCTCACATATACCCTTGCACTAACTTTTCTGAGTGGAAACATACCTTGGCTTGTTACCTAATCCTCAGGAACCAACACAAGGCACTAAGGTCAAGGAATATTTAACTATTCTGTTAATACTTATCCTAATCAAAAAGCCATTTTTTAAAATAAGACTTTCAAAATTCCAGTTTCAATTTTTCACGCTTATAGTAGTATCAGCCATGTTCAGTTACATAAAACTCATCTAATTTTATTCTCTTCCACTTTTGGTACTAACAAAATGAAAATCTGATGGCTAAAAGGGATCTGCAGTCCTTCTATACATGCACCTTAATTTCTCTGAAATTAAGCATTCTCACCAAAATCAACTTGCAGATACTAATATTGCTATCATTTGACCAAAAAACAAACAAAAAACAACAACAAAGAGGTAAACAAACTATATTTGGTTTTTTTTTTTTAAAGAAATACTTGGTTCTACAGGAATCTAGAATTCCAGGCACTGCAACTCCAAACCAATACTTACGTTTTCTAGGAGACAAACAGCAGCAGGATTACCCCGAAATGCTTTTGCTGTGAATGCATCGGCTATGAAAATAGGAAGCTTCATTTTCCTTGCAAGCTGTTTCTGTAAGCTCTCAAAATTGCTGGTGACCTGCTTTACTTCTTGCTGTTTCAAAAAGTAAAAAAAGTTAATGTTTTACTTGCTGTACAGAAGTAACTAACAGTTCTCAGATACAAAGTCAAACAATTATTCTAACACACCTACATTTAAAGATATGTGAGCCCTAATTTTTAAGCCTCTAAATTGAGTTTGTTTTAAAATACTGGATAAATAGAACACTTTCTTTTCAAATTTTGTATTAACATTTATACTGTATATATACTTAACAGCATAATCATAGTCTTACTTAGTCAAAACTAGCTTATGTTTTTGATTAAGTGACTATTACTGCCCTTTTAAAATAATGTATTTTTTCTTATAAAAAATATGCTCATTACAAAAAACTTGGCAAAATAAAAAGTGACCCATTACCATGAAATAACATCTTTTTTAATTTTGAACTTAACATAGTCAAAGAAACCTCATCATTTAACTAAGTTTGTGTTATTTTATTAAACCTGCAGATGGAGACTCTTTTGAGCTAAAGATATAGATTAGTAAAAGCTTTTCATTATAATAATAATATTTCCTTTTTACTAAAAAATCTATCAAATACAGAAAAGCAGAGAGGAAAAAAAAAATCTCTTGTATTTTCACTCCCTAGAGATAAATTCTATTAATATCTTGGGTGTTTCTTTTGCTTTACTAGAAATTTGGACTTTGTCATAGTAGTTAAAGTACTTTTTGAAAATTCAGCAAATTAAAGGGTACTTTGATTACATTTAAAAGAAAATGACCTCTCTGGCTGGTGTGGCTCCATTGATGGGAGTGTCTTACCATAAACCAAAAGGTCATAGGTCCAATTCCCGTTAAGGGCATATTACTAGGTTGCAGGTTTGGTTCCAGGATGGTGTGCATGCAACCAATTGATGTTTTTCTCTCTCTCTCCCCCTCCCTTCCTCTCTCTCTCAAATCAGTAAGTATGTCTTTGGGTGAGGATTTAAAAAAAAAAGAAAGAAAATGACCTACCTAACATGCATTTCTTTTTTTTTAATTGAATTTATTGGGGTTACATTGCTTAATAAAATTATACATAAGGGGTACAATTCTATAATACATCATGTGTATATTGTATCATGGGTTCACCACTCTAAGCCATGTTTCTTTCCATCACCACTTATCCCCACTTTATCCTTTCTTACTTCCTGAACCCCCATTTCCTTCTGGTAATGACCATACTATTGCCTGTCTGAGGTTGTTTTTCTTAACCCCTTCACCTTTTTCACCCAGCCTCCTACCTTCTCCCCTCTGACAGCTGCCAGTCTGTTCTTCGTATCTATGAGTCTTTCTATTTTGTTATTTTGTTAATTCGATTCCACATATAAGTGAAATCATAAGGTATTTGTTTTCCTCTGACTGGTTTATTTCACTTAGCATAATACTCTCCAGGTCCATCCATGCTGTTGCAAAGAGTAAGATTTCCTTCTTCTTTTTATCCTCACCAGAGAAAAAATATGTATCTTTTGCTTTTAGAGAGCGGAAGGGAGAGAGTGAAACGTTGATTGGTTTCTTCTTGTACATGCCCAGGATGGGAATAGAAACTGCAACCTAGGTGTGTTGCCCCGACTAGGAATCAAATACACATTCTTTTGATTAAAGGATGATGCTCCAACCAACTGAGCCACACTGGCCAGGAAAAGAGTGCCTTCTTTTTTACACCTGAGTAGTATGTACTCCATGTGTAAATGTACCACAGCCTTTTTTTATCCACTCACCTTGGGCTGCTTCCAAATCCTGGCTATTGTAAATAATACTGCAATGAACATAGGTGTGCAAATATGCTTTCAAATTAGTGTTTTAGGTTTCTTCAGACATATTCTCAGAAGTGGAATCACTGAATCATAAAGCAGTTCCATTTTTAATTTTTTGAAGTAACTCCATACAGCTTCCCAGAGTGGCTGCACCAATCTGCATTCCCACCAACAGTGCACAAGTTTTCCTTTTTCTCCACATCCTCACCAACACGTTTGTTTACTTACTGATGATAGCCATTCTGACAGGTGTTAGGTGAGATCTCATTGTGGTTTTAATTTGCATCTCTCTGATGATTAGTGACCTTGAACATCTTTCCATATTTCTATTGGCCATTTGGATGTCCTTTGCCCATTTTTTAATTGGATTGTTTGCCTTACTGGTATTGACTTGTGTAAGTCCTTTATATATTTTGGAAATTAATCCCTTATCAGATGTATCATTGGCATATATGTTCTTCCATTTAGTGGTTTGTCTTTTCATTTTATTGAGTTTCCTTTGCTGTGCAAAAACTTTATTGTTTGACACAGTCCCATTGGTTTATTTTTTCTATTGTTTCTCTTGCCCAAGGAGATAGATAAGAAAAAAATATTGCTATGAGAAATGTTCGAGATTTTACTGCCTATGTTTTCTCCTAGAATTTTTTTATGGTTTCAATCTAACATCTCAGCCTTTAATCTATTTTAAGTTTATTCATGTGTATGGTGCAAGAAGGCGATCTTATTTCATTTTTTTGCATGTAGTATCTGTCTAACTTTGCCAACACCATTTATTGAATAAACTGTCTTTAGCCCGTTGTATGTTTTTGTCACTTTTGTCAAATATTAATTGACCATAAAGATTTGAATTTATATCTGGGCTCTCTATTTTGTTCCATTGAGCTATATGTCTTTTTTTATGCCAGTACCATGCTGTCTTGATTACTATGGACTTGTAGTGTAGTCTGATATCAGGAAGTGTGATTTCTCCAACTTTGTTCTGGTTAAAGGTTTGTCAAATTTGTTTATCTTTTCAAAGAACCAGCTCTTGGAGTCAGTGATCTTTTGGGTTTTTTTTAGACTATTTCATTTATTTCTGCTCTGATCTTTATTATTTCCTTCATTCTACTCACTTTGGGCTTTGTTAGTTCTTTTTCTAATTTCTTTATGTGTAAAGTTAGATTGTTTATTTGAGATCTTTCTTGTTTCTTGAGGTAGGCTTGTAATGCTATGAATTTCCCTCTTAAGGCTGCTTTCTCTGTGTCCCATAGATTTTGAGTTGTTGTGTTCTCATTTTCATTTGTTTTGAGGTATCTTAATTTATTCCTTAATCTGGTTGTTAACCCACTCATTGTTTAGTAACATGTTATTTAGCCTCCATGTCTTTGTGTGTTTTTCAGTTTTTTCCTTGTGATTGATTTCTAGTTTTATACCATTAGGGTCAGAGAAGATGTCTGATCTGATTTCAATCTTCTTAAATTTATTGAGACTTGTTTTGTGTCCTAACATGTGGTCTCTTCTAGAGAATGTTCCATGTGCACTTGAAGAGAATATATATTCAGCTGCTTTGGGGTAAAATGCTCTGAAACTACCAATTAAATCCATCTGACCTTGGTTGGGTACCTCAATTGGTTAGAGCATCATCTTGATACATCAAGGTTGCAGGTTCAATCCCCAGTCAAGGCACATATAAGAATCAACCAATGAATGCATAAATAAGTGGAACAACAAATTGATGTCTCTCTCTCCCTCTCTTCCTCCCTCTCTCTCTAAAATCAATAAATTAAAAAAAAATTAATTTTAAATAAATAAATCCATCTGATCTAGTGTGTCACTTAAGGATGCTGTTTTATTGTTGATTTTCTGTCTGGAAGATCTCTATTGATGTCAACGGGATGCTAAAGTCCCCTACTATGACTGTATTATAGGCAATCTCTCCCTTTATGTCCATCAAGATTTTCTTCATACAATTAGGTGCTCCTATGTTGGGTGGATAAATGTTTACAAGGGTTATATCCTGTTGTTGGATTGCTCCCTTTATCATTATGTATAGTCCTTCTTTGTCTTTTACTGTATATAGCTTTTGTTTTAAAGTCTATTTTGTCAGATAAGTATGCTACTCCACATTTTTTTTTCATTTCCATTTGCATGAAATATTTTTTCCATCCCTTTACTTTTACTCTGTGTGTAGCTTACCTTCTGAGGTGGGTCTTTTGTAGAAAGCATATATATGAGTCTTGTTCTCTTATACACTCAGCTACCCTATTTTTTTTTTATTGGAGCAGTTAAGCTATTTACCTGCAAAGTGATTATTGATAGATATATATTGGTGGCCATTTTATTCTTTATAACTATGTTCCTCTTTTTCTTCTTCTTCTTCTTAAAGAAGACCCTTTAACATTTCTTGTAATACTGGTTTACTGATAATGAACTCCTTTAGCTTTTTCTTGTCTGGGAAGATCTTTACTTCTCTTTCAATTTTTCTTTCCTATTAAGAGTTTATTATAAATTTGCTTCATGGCCCACAAGGAACAGATTCTGTTCCTGTTCCACGATTCTGTTTCTATGATTCTGTTCCTGTTCTGGTTGTTTGCTTAGTTTTTGTTTGTTTATTTGTTTTTTAGATTCAATTGTTGATAGTTGTGAATTTGTTGCCTTTTTAATGTTCATGGTTTGACCTTTTTCTTTTTCTTAAATAAGTCCTTTTAACATTTCATACAATAAGCATTGGTGATGATGAACTCCTGTAGCTTTACCTTGTCTGGGAAGCACTTTATCTGCCCTTCCATTCTAAATGATAGCTTTGCTGGATAGGGTAAGCTAGGCTGTAGGTTCTTACTTTTTATCACTTTGCATATTTCTTGTGAGTCCCTTCTTGTCTGCGAAGTATCTTTTGAGAAATTGGCTGATAGTCTTATGGGAACTCCTTTGTAAGTAACTCTACTTTTTCTCTTGCTGCTTTTAAGATGCTCTCTTTATCTTTAACCTTTGGCATTTTAAGTATGATATGTCCTGGTGTGGTCCTCTTTGGGTCCGACTTGTCTGGGGCTCTCTGTGCTTCCTGAACTGTATTTCTATTTCCTTCACCAAATTAGGGAAATTTTCTTTCATTATTTTTTCAGAAAGGTATTCAATTTCTTGCTCTTCCTCTTCTCCTTCTGATTTCCTGTGGATTATTTTTTTTATTTCACTTACTGTGACCTTCATTTCTTCCTTTGTTTTTTTCTGTACTCAAGTAGTTCTCTGAGCATCCTAATAACCAATATTTTGAACTCT